TAGAATGAATGTAACAGTAAGTATGCTAGCCAAGAGACTCGCAATGATAATATGGCCTCGTCGATAAGTTGAATTATCGATTTCACGATACACCTACATAATACAAGAATCGGCTTTTGAATCGAACTATCATTTATCAAAGGATGAAAGAACCACGCACCTGAGGCATGACAATACCACCAATCTGCCCCATGCCCATTATGAAACCTATAGTTACCATCCTTTTCGTATTCCCGCCAACATTATTTGTGATCCATGACAGTAGGATAGTTAGCGCTCCAAATATCCCACCACTAGCAATACAAGTGCTGGCATACATAGCCGCTTTGTTGTAATCCATAAGACTTATTATCAAGATGAAACCAAGAAGTGCGATTGTCAGAAAAAAGGCAAGATGAAAACCGTGTTCATTACGACGAGATGAAGAATAGCTACCCAATACACAACACAAACACGCAAGAAGATATGGAGGTGCTGTCATTAAATGAGCATATGCCTTTGAAATGCCTAAGCCATTCACTAGAGATGGAAGATAAACTGCGAGATATTTGATCACAGTCAAATTGCCGATAGCGATTAGAGCATATAAGTAAATACGCCAATCACTAAAAGCATACCGCACTTGTCGCCACGAAATTATAGTGCCTGATATTGATTCACTGTTAGACTCGCCAGCATCGTGTCGAAGAAGATTTGTAAGCAATTCTTTCTCCCAGTTATCCAGCCCTAGTTTACATGAAAAAAAAATGAATGGGCGACCTTCTGTTCATTCTTACATTGAACAGTTTCAGGTATATTGCCAAGAAAGAGATAAGTGGCAATGCCTAGTGGAACCAGCGGTAGACCTTCGAGCAAAAAGATCCATTGCCAGTTTTTCAAGCCAGCAACATTGTGCATATTACTAATTCCATACACCTGTTTATACGAATAACTAGTTTTAAAAGTCGAATAGAGAAATATTTACCAGAATGCCACCAGAAGCATTTGAGATCATCTCAGCGCTCAGGAAGATACCAATTCTCATCGTTTGCTCTCGTTTGCAATACCATAGTGAAAAATAAAAAATAATACCTGGAAAATAACTAGCTGCGGCCATTCCCTTGATAGAAAACATTATATGAGACCATATTATAAGAAAGTTTTGAATGTTTACAAGAAAAAATCGAACTATGATCAATTGATGCGCATTCTTCACGAAAGCCAACCCAGCTGTTGTTGCTCCCCATACAATCAAGCTTAGAGATAAGTAGCGTGCCGGACCAAGAAGACGCAGTAGAAAACCACTCGGAATCGCGAAAACGAGCTGGAAAAAAAAACAATGACTTGAAAAAGAAAAATAGTTCATTTATTTTTCAGCATGAAAAAGTGGTCCGATTCACGTATAATCATTATTCTATGTTTATGAAAAACTTTTAGGATTCACTATTTAGCCAAGTACACAAAATAATTGACTAAAAATTGAATTGCTGTAGAAGATAAAGCATTTTCTCATAAATTGAACAAAGCGAGACAGAGCTTTTGTTCAATTCAGAAATCGAGCACTATGTATCGACTTACATAGCCAAGAAAGAAGATCGACATCGCCCAGCTATTCTCTCCTGTGGTCAAACCAAGATCACTTTTGAAAGTTGTCAATTGAACGTGACCTATTATTATAGTTGAAAATATTTTTTGATGTATTCGAAGAACATAAAAATAAGACCTAGTGCGACTTGAAAGCCAAATCTGATGATCGAGAGCACTACGATGAACGGAATAATTCGTCGATCTAGCTTTCTAATGAGTCGGGTTATAGCACGTTGCTCTCGTAATACTTCATCATTTTGAGTAGTCACGGTGAGTGATATTTCTCTAAACATTTAGTTCTTTCATGATAGAAATTGATTCATAATGCTCATTTATAGTAAGGAAATCTCATATTGCGTTAATTTTATTCCTATTTATTCATTTGAAGAAAAGTGCGTCATTACATTTAAGAAAGCACGAGCAATATAATGACGTGTTCTGTTTAGTTCCTTAATAGTCAGCGGTCTCCCTCTACATCGATCCTTACGCAAACAAGCGAATTAGCATGTTTATGCAGCAAACTGCAAATTAATATTCTTACACATCGATTGATTTCCGACTGGATGCGTTTTGAAGGTTCTAGAAAGAGAACCCATAATAATAACGATATACTCATTGAATAATACATTTTTTTCTTTTAGTTTCAAACTTGACACGATACATGATCGAAAAAACTTAGAATGGGGTCCAACGTCTTACATGTCTTTTCATGACGGTCTTCAATGCATAAGAAATAATATGATGCAACACAGACAAAGAGAGAAATCACGAAGATTCCTTGAAAAAACGTGTGTACTCACGCATTGACATGAGCTGCGCTAATAGACTCAAAAGCTGAAAGAAGATAACAACAACAAAACAGACACTTAGTTGACCTGTTATTTATTCGGACGTTGTCGACTGATGTTTCTTTTGTCAATATCTCTTGCTCTTCATAGCAGTATTTTTGACAGTATCTCGGTGCAATGTGTGTTGAGTGTCAACAAAGAACAGAAATAATGTGTGTAAGATGAAAATCTTAAAATAATTAAATCAGCACTGTATATATATAGGATGTGAGTGTGGTTTTCTCTGCACTCTCAACCACCCAGACTTACACTCATCCACACTCATTCATGTTCAATCTAAAGACAGAAAAGAAGGTAGTCAGTCGATGATAACATCAATGGTCTCGCTTCAGTAGTAAATCTTAACTATTATCTTCTTTATAAAGGAAAGTGAGAAACAATATTCATTAAGACAACTGCTTACTTCTTGCATGATCTATAGATTGTTCATATTTTTTATTCATTTCAAACCGTTTATTCAATGTATACTTTGCTTGATCATGTGAATAATGACACAAAAACGGCCAAGATAACCACATATTGGTTTCTGACATACAATTATTTCATTGATAATTTATGCATCATTTAATTAAAAAATCTGGAAAATTCTTATTGACCTATTTCCAAAAAATTAACATCATACACTCATATTTATATCACTATTATTGACAGAGAAGATGCTAACCAACATAATGATATTTTGAAACGTCGACATGAATACTCAAGCTTCATATAGAACATTCAGCTAGGGACGAATTTCTGTCTGCATATAAACTAATTTTCGCCGAGATCCAGAACTTATGGGACACCCTTTATAAATTGGTACGACTCATCGAGTGTCATTTACAAATGTCCATTCTAAACATGAATTTGATAGATTAAAGATAAAACTACACACTAACATCAAGAGTTTATCAGTAAAAGTGAAAAAATTGTTTGAGCAGTGCGCTGAACCTGTTAATGGAATTGTAACTGAAACGATTTCTCATCGTTTAGATGACGAATTTTGGTATTTGTCACGAAGATATTTTTGAGGCATCCTGCATACATATACTGTATATTCTGTTGAGTCGAATATCTATTTTTTTAAATATCTGTGGAGATACAATCTTATCACTCTTATTCACACTTCTATATATGTCGTTTGTCCAATTACTGCTCCATTTTCTTCTTCCAGCATCCACTAGTCATTAATTGGTCATCAAAGCATAATTATTACTAATAAAAACGTATTATGCATGGTATTGGTTACTATAATCAAAGACTTTCTTTTCATGAGTACTCGCATTATTTTTCGGCATGCAAAAAAAAAGTAAATCTAATATTGAATGCTGCTGTACTCAAACGTAGTTTTGGTCTTAATCATGACAGAGATTATAATATTTTGTCTTGCCTATCGAATCTAATCATACGACTGACTGCTTATGTTGATTTTTCTACTTGAAGCGTGCAATGTTTGGATGTAAGATCGATCTATCAATGCAAAACACAGAAATCATTCATCTATCTCAGAATTACCAAGTTTTTTTTTCATTCACATATCATGAATATCAATGTGTATGTATTTGCAAGAAACAACCTAGGATAGTTAACGTATCAACATGATATATCACCATCGATACAACTAATATCTATGAATCCACTATGAATGTCATCAATTCAAGACGTTTTTTCTGAGTCTGTCAGAGGTATGGGTGTGAGCATCAGTGTGAAGTGCGGGTGTAGTTGTGAGTGTAGGCGAGGGTGTGGGTGTAGATGTACGTGTGGGTGGATGTGGTTTTGAGTGTGGGTCTTCGTTCCTATTTTCAACAAGGTTACACACGTCCACACTCCATTGCAAACAAGATAATAGACTTGTTCAACACTTTCAAACATTGTCTGAGCTATAGTTCTATCAGCTCATGCTTCGTTTTTAACTACTTCTCAGTTTTGAAGCAACCGGTGTGATCATTTCCCCATTTGTCACGAAGGCGAAGCTTGATTTCTGAAAAGAGAATATAGTTCAATATATAGCGCAAGACACACATTTAAAGGTAGAACTGAAAACTTTTCCTTATTCATTGGGAATAGAAGGAAATTGCTTACATCGAAAATCATATTATTACTATATCAATCAAAGAGTCATAATAAAATGAAGAAATATCTAAGGGAGTCGGTGGGTGTTGTTATAGATCTTTTCTTAACGGACATCCACCCACACTCCACATCCACACCCACATCCTCAGTATCGATCACAGTGAAAGGGTAAAAAAAATTTTCTCGATAAATAATGATCGTTATCAAGCATCAAAATTTATTTAAGCGAAATCGTGATTACTGTTGCTTCGTTAATAGTTTTACTCGAAACAACTAATGTTGTATGAAAGAACAGTCAAACGGGGATAAAAATGGTCAAATGCCTTCATTTTGTAATTGTTTTAACAATATGAAATGGTCACAATTAATATACAAAAAGTGCTTTTCATATGATACATTAAAAAGATGAATCTGGTTACGATAGACGTCTACTAGAGTGCAATATCAAAAGCTATGTTTCCTATTTATTTAAAATCAATCATTATTATATACAAAAAATAATAATAAAACAAATCCTAAATAACTAAATTTTTACCACCATAAATACAAATCACGATTAATAAATTTACTACAGTAATCATTAAGTAAATTTTCTGATTTGATTAAAATAGATAATTCTTTTAAACATATTTTTGGTATTTGTAAAATACATAAAAAGAATAAATTTTGTGTTTTATTATTAGTTTTTGATAATAAAAATCGAACTATTGATTGTATTTCTTTTCTATTCAATCCAATTTTAAGATATTCTAATCGTGGAAATAAATTCACAACCAATTGAATTTCATCGAATGAACACCAAACACGAAAATCGAGAATTTTTATTTTATTTCTATTTGATACATATTGAAAAACTTTATTTTGTTTAATTACATTTAGATTAATGTCCCCGAATGGTAAATAATCCAATTTTAATGCATATAGATTAGGTGTAAAACGTAACAATTGAATAATTTCCGTAAATGTAAACTTATAACATTCAATAACCAACTTTGTAAGTTGTTTTAAAGGAATCATACGGCGAAGAGTTTTTGGAATTAAATCATTTGATGTTTCAAAATGATGTTTAATGGTTAATTGATTAACATTTGGAAAATAACTTACATTATTATCTTTTATTTCTTTACTACAAATATAAAGATGTTTAACTAAATGGTAATCTTCTTTTTGTATGTGTGAACAAATTGGTTCATTTGATTCCCAATGATATACATAATCTTTTCGTCTAAAATAGAATAAAGATTATTTTCTATTCACAAGGATATTTATCGTAGCGAGGAATGTGATAACACAATCAATTAACAACCTAGCGTTTTCATTATACAAGAGAGAAAAGTTAGGACTGTAAAAAGAACTATATTTTGAAATTAATAGGATTTTAATAAGATCTTTCGATATACACAAGACTGATATACATAAATAATTTCATTTTCGACATATAAGATGTTAGATTTGAATCAATGGATTTGTACTGTATATGGGTTAGTAACCATCCTGAATTCAGTGATTAAATTTCTTTTTAGTTCCACGATCAGTCTTTTATGCTATGACAAAGGCAACATTGAGGCGAGAGTATACAATACTTTCAAACTTAGAAACAAATACCATTAGGGTGAAGTTTTCGATTCACTTTGATAAGCATGGGTCTTCTCTCTCGAACTCTATTAGCTAAAACTGGTCATAGATATTTTTTTGTGTCGACAAATAATAATTTCTCTTTACCGATATGGAGCGATCGAATAAAAAATTCCATTATCAGGTTGATCTTTCCAAATATGTTGATGTGTAAAAAACCATTTATTTTCAATCCAAAACGAAGAATTAAATTCATTAATAACATCATGATATGTTAAAGTTTTGGTTTTTACAGAACCTTTATGATTTATATCAAAGATACGTAAATATGGCATATTTGATACTATTAATCTTTGCCATCGTTTAGCATCTAAATATGCTTCATCATAATATGTCGTAAGATGTAAAATTTGAACATAATGAAACAATTCTGTGATAGTTTTTTCAAACTTTTTAAACTCAATATAATCAATTCGAAGAGAAACATATTTCAAATATTTTAATTGAATAAGAGATAAATTTTCTTCTTCTTCTTCTTCTTCCGCATAATAACGAGATTGAACAAGACAATCAATTGATAAATGCTGAAGTTTAGGAAGACAACATAATAATTTATTAAATGCATCAAATGGAAAACGACCATTGATTATCAACCATTGTATCGGACTGTAATCATATTGAGTAAAAATGGTCAACAATGGGTCTTCGTAATCTTTTGTTTGATATTCAATTTTACAATATTTTAATTTTGATAAAAAAAATATATGAGAAAAAATCGGAGATAATGATTCAATATAATCACCGATCGAAATAGTTAATGAATGAAATTTACGTAAGTGTATTAAATTATCAAAGATTTTATTAAGATGTTTGATTTGTATATTTTCAAGAACTAATGTTTCAAGACGAATGAAATTCAAAATCAAACGTGGTGGTGAGAAAATAATCTCGGCAGCAAATGGATTTAATAAACGAAGAAAATTAATTCGACTTTTATTTGGTATAATAATATCATGATAATAATCGTCAAAATTTGATTTAGATATTATTGAAATATTAATTTTAGTTAAAACATTTGAATTAATAGCTAAATTTTGAAATCGATTATTAAGATTATAAAATACTTTGTAAATATCATGTACATCAAGATATTCAAATATTTCATAAAGAATTTCATTGGCTAAATCTTCAAGAAGATATCTAAATAAAAATAAAGGATTATTATTTTTTTTTTTGATATGATGAAAGAGATATATCTGACTTGTTTGAATTGATTGTTGTTACTAAAACAACAAACGGAGAAAAATTAGATTTAATAAATATTAATATGAAATATTACTTTGTTTTTCTAATTTTTGTTTTTTATTACTGTTTGAAATTTGAACCATTTCATTCTCTTGCCGTTTTGTTCGTTGCATGTTTAAGATAATTGAATAACGATGATACTGACTGAGAACGAATACATAAACACGTGCAATAATAAACAAATTGTCTTTTTCTTCTCTAAACACAGTAGACAGCGAGTGTAGTGTGTCTTCTTCTATTAAAAAGACAATTGATTTTAAGATACAATGCCCGTCATAAAACAACTAAGCAACAATAATTATTAACACTTCTCTAAGAAAAACAATTATAAAATAGAGAACAATCGATTTTGATTTTTATCATCATACGCTGTATTTTTGACAATCCAGTTTAGACAAATAACGATTGGGTATGCTCACTCGATGGCCATGAATTTAAGTCTTGTTCAAACTTGCTATAGGAGCAAGCGTTTGATGAATGCCTATATAGGTCTTTTGAAAAAAATTGTTCGATTCTTAATACACTGAATTCTTTGTGAGATCAATATCTCTTTGAGAATCCACGTATATCTTTTGAAAGTTAATCTACTGTTTTGCACAACAACGTACTACTCATGAAGGAACGTTGTCAAATGTTAAATTGTTGTTAAGTTGGGATACAATGTGGGTGTGGGTATCGACGAAGAGGAGACGATACCCACACCCACACCCATACCCTAACCAAAATAAAGTTTTCGGAAAAGAAGAGAGTCTTCATTCCATATTCATAGTCTAAGTACATAAAAATATTTCTGGTAGTCAAGAAAAAAACATCCCATGGGAGTACAATAACGTATTGTGGAGTGAAAGAAAAGAGAAAATATGACATGAAATAGGTTAGTTGAACGTGCCATAAATGACATTTTAACAAAATATTTCAGTTTCGTATTGTGAGTGATAGACCCTGAAGAATTCTGCAGAAATCACAGAACCCTTCCTGATCCAATATTTTTGGATAGAACACTTTTTATAGTTCAGTATTTTTGAACAGAACCTCTTCATTTCAGCATTTTTGGAAAGCGAGCATCATGTGGTTCCGCATTATCTGCCAAACCTTGTAAAGGTTTATAAATATCATACAGAACTATAAATTGGTTCTGCACATTCTGCAGAACCCAAAATCGTTCTGTAACAGTCTATTTCTTTTTCAGAGTACAGCTGGAGACTAACTTTTTGAGACATTCAATCAGATAATCAGTACATTTCTTTCATTCATTTGTTGTATCTAATAAAAATGTACAACAAAGAATATATTGATAGAAGAGACCATGTGTTCTATTTAACGATCGATTAAAGATTCAAACAATCTATCCGTATGCTAAAAAGAAATGAAATTTGTATTTATAACAAAGAGAATTACCCACTTTGCTGAGCATTTATAAACAGCAAGTTATTTCTCTAATACATAGAACAAAGATTCATATAGAAAACAATACATGCAATAAGAAAGACCATAAAAAATTAATGAGGCAATAAAAATAATTGCAAAATGATACTGTTTGTTACAAGGAAATGGTTTCATCCCCATGATGCATTCCTAATTTTGTTTTAATTCTACTAATACAGTTCTTTATATACGTAGTGTCAGGATGATCATTTGATTCATAGTTTTGTTGCATCTCAAGTGCTCGTTGCCAGATTTCCAAAGCCTGGTTATACTTTTTTTGTTTTGTGAGAATCTCACCGATATTTGTGAGAATATGAACGGTCTCGGGATGACCACTGTGAAAATAACTGTCCTGTATTGTTAAGGCTTGGCCAAAATTTTCTAAGGCTTTATCATACAGTTCCTGTGCCATCAGCACACGACCAATATGTTTTAGATTCTGTGCAGTGTTCGGATGACCATCAGGATAGTATTTTTTTTGTACAATGACTGCGTTTTGATAAAACATGAGAGCATCATCGTATCGTCTTTGCATTTCGTAGACATGACCGATGTGTGTCAGACTATTGGCAACATCCGGATGCCCATTAAGATAACACTTTTCTAGCATTCTTCGTGCGCGTTTGTAGAGTTGAAGTGCTTGATCATAATTTTTCTGTCTCTCATGGAAATAACCCATATTGTTGAGAGTCTGGACGATGTCAGGATGTTTAGTATTATAATGTTTCTCTTGTATTTTTAAAGCTCGTTGAAAAAACGTCATGGCTTCATCGAATTTATTTTGACCAAGTAGAACACAACCAATACTATTGAAACTATCAGCAATCTCAGGATGTTCAGGTGGGTAACATTTCTGTCGTATTTCTAATGCCTTCTGATAAAATTCGAGTGCTTTCTCGAAATTCTCTGCTGTTTGGTGAACTCGTCCAATATTGTTAAGACTATGAGCAATGTCAGGATGATCGCCAACAAAGAACTTCTTCTGCATGATGAGTGCTTTTTGAAAGTAGGAGAGAGCTTCTGTATCTAGCCGTTGTGATTCAAAAATGGTACCGATATTATTGAGACTCTGAGCAGTATCGGAATGGCCGCCAGGAAAACGCTTTTCTCGCACATTCAGTGCTCTTTCAAAGGACTTTCTAGCTTCATCATACCTTCCAAGTCGACGAAGAACACAGCCTGTATTGTTGATATTCTCAGCAATATCAAGATGATCACTTGGGTAGAATTTCTCGCGTATTTCTAACGAACTTTTAAACGAATCAAGTGCTTGATGGAAATGACCTTCTTTTCGGAAGACGCAACCAATACTGGTAAGTACATAAGCAGAATCCTTGACACGAGGCGGATCAACACTCATCATTCGCCTGTAAGCACTTTCATAATATTTCCGTGCAGCTTCCCATTCTCCTTTGAAATCCAGTGCTCGACCGATATTATGCTCGATCCATGCGGGATCTTCACCATGTGGATTAGCCATCAAGTTTTTAAAATACTTCAGAGACTTATCATACTGACCCATATTACACATTAGACGTCCAAACATGATAGCGACACTCATGTCTTCAGCTTTTAAACGTATCTCTTGAATATAATTTAGTGTGATGGCTTGTCCTGCATTTGATGCGCTCATTTCAATGACTGTCACATCGGGTTTGTTTTGTATATTGTTAATGCAAAACACAGTGTTTAGATCAAAGAGAACTTCCTTTTCACCAGGAAATTCACTGTATTCAGCCACATCGGCGAAGACGATATTGCCATCGGCTTGTTGCACTCGTATCTCGAATAGAACTGGTACAAGATTGGTGCGTTTCGTCAACTTTCTGACAAACTCCATCGCCTGTGAGCGAAGTCGACTGGTGGACAAGTATCCATTCATCGAGATGAGTTTACCGATACTATCTTTGAATTTTTTCAGTTCATCATCACTTAATTTTCCTCCACGATAAACTGTCAATGTTCTTTCTCCAGATAAAACCATTTTTTTATGCTCACGATCGAGACTTTCCGATAAATCTCCAATAAAGAATCGAAATGTATACAGCATATCAATGTCTTCACTTTTCAGTGCCTTGTTAACAAGTTTATAAATGAATGATTGTTTCGTGTACCATCGAATGGTTTCACTCGATTGATAATGATGTTCAAATTCATCAATCATTGTCAATTGTCGTAAGTTGCCTCGATAGTAGTTGCGACATGTGTCGAGCATTTGTTTTTTGGCTTCCTGATCGCGTGGAAGACGAAGTATAACATATCGAAAAAGTTGAAACCAAAGAAACTCAGCTGATTCTTTGGATAAGGCTTTCGCTATCTGTTGATTTTGATCGAAGAAGGTAAAAGTCTCCAATTGTTTCTCGACAAGAGATATTTGTGCTTGAATGGAGTCACACAATAAGTTTAAATCTACGTAAATATCGACGATTTTCGGGTATTCAACTTTGAGGTGTTCATATCTAACCTTTTTGAAGCAATAGATGAAGATACACTCAAGTTGACTCAGCTGAACGACGCGTGGTAAGAATTCTGATGCACACGCACCAGATATGATCAAGAAGACTTTTTCATGTTGAATCGATTGAATAAAGATAATACATGTTTCCAGATCTTTATGAAACACTGTATAATGGTTAATATCAAGTAACCGTTGCTTGGTGACTGCTGTATCTGACCTTAAATCAATATTCGGATCGTACCAGAGAAGAGTTATAGCTTCCTTGTTTTCGCCATGATGTGTATCACCAGATGAAGGTGTTGTAATTATGGAACCGGCTGCACTAGTTGTGTTAATTGATGGTGTCACTGTTGCCATTCACTTGTACAAACGGACTATTATCAATTCGTTCGCTCTACAGATATAAATAAGTATGGAGTAAGTAAATATTGATAACAGAATATATAGATGTTATATTTCGCTAACATAAAAATGATCTTATTACCTACCTTGTCTTTTGAGTCGCAGTATACGTCTTTTGATTCTCTTTTATGCAGACGTTTTTTTATATGACTTAGAAACAAAATGAAACAATGTATACTGATTAGCTTGTGTCTTATCAGAAACAGTATAAACTGCTGGATGAAAGCATTTATGATGGTGTATCAAGAGTTTCATTAAGCAGTGTTTTCTTCTTAGTCTCACTCGACATTATTTCATATTACTTTGCATTAGTAGTTATATTTAACGCAAAACTTGATCTCATCTCATCATATATCAAACAATTTATGGCTCCTTTTAAGAAGAATATAGTCAACAAGCAAGTTTTATTGAAGAAAAACAAGAATGCAAAAAAATTTATCACGATAAAAGAAGCAAATAAAAGGCTATAGAAAGAAACGAAAGAAAAGAAATATTCGTCAGACATGAGTAAAAAGAAAGATAAATATGATAAAGAATAGAAGAAAAAGGCGATTAATCGTAGATATATTGAAAATGCCCATGATAGCAAGCGTCATTTACACGGTAGGAGTCTCTGTAAGGGTTATTAGTTGGAAAGTCTCGTGCTTGAGTTGAAAACTACATTTACTATTTCATAATGAATTTTAAAAAATCGTGTTTTGTGTTTCATGGCGATGAACATATCTCAGAAAAGTGGAAATAGAAATTTCAATAAAGTTCAGAGTAATTATTCTTTCGTCTCTTTTGATACAAAGTGTTGTTCATTGTAGTAGGATCTGTGATCACAAACATAAATGTTTGTAATCAACAAGTTTTCCCAACACGAAGTAACATCTAATGATTAGAATGATTTCATCATATCTCTATACTTTGAGGACTCCCTTATTCATATCCCAACATAGATATCTATTCTTACCAGCAGAGTTCAGTGGTATTTCATTTAGAGCGATGTTTAATACTATGCGATAGAAATTTGATATTATTTTCATGCTCAGTCTTTTTTATTGCTCTACACGACAGCATCTCAAAAACTTACTTTCGCAGTAGTATCAAACAATTATTGCGTCGTTATCTGCAATCTCCATTTCACCTGAGTTTTTAACTATATACTGGTCTTCTTGTAAGTGGGAAAAAACCAACTTCGATAGGGTGTGTGTGAGTCATCAGTTTAGTCATATTCACCCCCAAACGCACCCCCACATTCACACCCATCAAAACCTACCATTCGAGAGAAACCGCCCATAGAACATTTCTATGGTAACGAAAGTTCGCAAAAAGCTTTCAGCTTCATTGGAAAAAAGCGAAAATTTTTCAGGATAGGAAAGAGTTACCCCGCTTCAGTTGTTATATTTCTGCTTGTCATGTTTTCAATAGAGTTCTATATTGACTCTAGCTTACGATTACACCATCATATTTTGTCTTCGTCTTGAATATCATGAAATATGACACCATGAGCCATTATCGATCCTGTTCTTTCACCAACTGATCATAAAAAGGAAAGTATGACATATGAATCACAAGAAGTAATTCGATTCTTTTGAGTAGACATAACGCTTCTCTCTGGACTGTTTTCTTCGTGTAACAAAATCATGTCTGTTGAGTGATACATAAGTTCTGTGAGATAATGGAAACATTTTGGTCAAACTGGTTTTACTGAAACAAAAAGATGTTTTACATCGTGTCTCCTTCATTGTTTTCTTGAGCAAAAGCATTGAAGCCTGTAGGACATGTCGACAAATTCGATCCTATGCAAATCCTCTCAATAAGCAGCCAGGTGATATCTTTTCAGTAGCTGATGTATCCAGTCGAAATATTCATCCAGCGGAATTAGAGTATTTCGATGTGGGTGCTGGTGTTTTGCTGAAAAAGACATTCCAACCCTTCAGCCCCCACCTCACACCCTTCTCAGCGATATCATTCAAAAAATGATGAATTTTTAATAACTCTGCTTTACCACCTTATGTTTACATTATGTGGATTTAGTTTTGACATTTAAAGTTTTGTTAGATCTAAAATAGCAATTACAAGTATATTTCTTGGAACAGATATTCTATTTTCAAGAATTGAGTTGATTTTTTTAGCTATGTAGGATTAGATTTTTGCATGATCGATTCGTCAAATAGGTGATGATGAAAAGAAAAGTTTCAAAAGTTCTAGTTGATCAATGCATTTATTTATTTATTTATTTATTTAATCGAGTAAAAGAATGACACTTGATTAAAATAAAATGATAGATGAGTTTTTGTTTTTGAATTGTTTATTAAACATCGACAACAATTATTTGATAACCATTTATTTCAGTATCAACTGTTGGATCAATTTTGAATTTTGCTGGATAACTTGATTTTGTTTCTACCATTTTATTTTGATGTTTTTGATGAGTTGATTTTCTTGCTGGTAATATATGATCAGCAATAATAGCTTCAAGTTTATATTCAACATTTGCTTTAACACGAGCTGTATCAAGCCAATATTCAAATCGACAAGGATATTTTTTTGATGTACATGTAAAATCAACTTGATCAATAATATGACCTTTTTCTTTATCTTCCATAAGTTCTAATTTCACTTGTGTTCCCGGTAAATCATGGTCTTTACTATGATTATGATGAATAATTTCACCACGAATAATAACAAATTCTAAAAGAAAAGAAAAATAATGATAATAATAATAATGAATTATTTATCAGAGATGAATTCCGTTCGATTGGCTTCCAAAATTAGTAAGAACACGAACTAATATCATCTCTTTTCATTTGTATAAAGAATATTTACTAATTGCACGCATATTGAAATCAAGCGTATCAATATCCTTTTCTGATAATTTAACATGATTTTCATGTATATAAGCTGGTTGCCATATCATACTAACAATATAAAAACTTTTTGCTTTCTCGAGTTTAAAATCATGATCAGTAAGTACAATTGAATAATTCAATGGAAATGTACTAGTTGTGATAGGTGTCAACGAACTATGAAGAATTGTGTGATTAACATATACATTTATTGAAAGTATCATGCCCTTGAGATTACGTATAGCATCACCCGATGGTCCAATAATCTGACCAACAAGTAATGTTTCATTTACTAAAAAAAATTTGAAAAAAGAAATTCAAAAGAATTTTGATCTTTTATTTTAACATACATGGTCCTTTACGAATAGCTTTACCATCAATAGATAATGACCAACTAAGTACTAATAATATAAAACCAATCCATACTTGTTGCATGTTTGTAAATGTTGTTTGAAAACAAAAACAAAATGAACTAAAAAAAAGAAAATACAATAATAAAATTGATTGAAACAATGATAACATAAAATATATTATATCCATATGTAGTATTTGTTCTTTTGTAGAACTATTGACTAAAAACAGACATACAATAATATTTTTCTTTCATCTAAAATATTCAAAACATATGTAAGAAAAAAGATAAATTAATATTTTTAAAAAGACTTATATTAATATTTTTAACAAATAAGGCTTTAAAAAAAATTTTTTTTCATACAGATTTTGATGAATAATTAGTTTTCTTCTTCTGTAAATAATAATGAAACAAAAAAAAAAGTGTAGGAAGTTTCACTTAGCTAAAATAGAAATTTTTTAGCATAGATGTCAGAGAATTTTGTCATGTAAATTTCAATAAATACTTAAAATTATATTTCATAAAAAGATTAATATTTGAATCTTCTTTTAGAAAAAAAAAATTGATTACATAAAATTCCAGTAAATATTTTTATAATTATAAATAATTGATATTTCATTCTGTAGATATTCATATATGTCTTAAATTAATTCTTATCGAACATTTAGGTGTGTTCTGTTCTATCAAAGTTAGATAATTAATACCACATCTACTATTTCGTCTTAGAACTAAATCATGCACATGAAACTTACAATTATATAAATAGACTTCTGACTTTTTTTTCCAAATTGTTTCATTTTTTTTGTTTATTGCGAATGGAAACGAAAATTTTCATTCGTCATATGTATAACGCATTAAAATTTACCTGTATATATTTATTGTTTTTTGTTCTGATATGGATCTCTTTACAATTTTATGAATCTCGTATGTCCTTGTCTGAAAAAAAGACATGGTTATGTTTACGACTTAATACTTTATCGTGTTCATTATCGGAAGAATGTATTATTTTCAATGTAACATGTTATTCAAATGGTTACATTATTTTTCATGGTATTAATAATACAGCATATCTAGGTAAGAAAACATTTCAACTTGAAAAAAATCGAATGATTGCTTTAAATGAATTTATTCAAACACATGCATTTATATCGGATTTTCAATCAATAAAAATTTTATTACGTATTGAATTATTTCATCATAATAATAATGAAATATATTTTTGGAGAAATGATACAATTAGTTATACTCTGTTAATATCACTTTTAAATATTAATACATTATCATCATACAAACATTGGTCAATATTACTACGTACTGCTCATATTTTATCAAATATTCAACAAAGAAACAAACCTAAACATTTCATTGATATAAATTCAAAATTAATACAAACAAGACAAAAATTTCAACAATCTTTAAAATATCAAAATTCTATTAGATCTATTCGAACAAAACGAATGATTATACCAATAGCAAAAATTTCATATAGTACAGATGATAATAATGATATTTTTCCATATAATATAGAATTTATTATGCCATCAATTCAAAAATTAAGATTAATAACAGAAAAATTCAATGATGATATTTGTTTTTCTTCTAAGGTAATTGAGTCACAATTTGATTTAATCGATGCTTGTCTATCGACGAATGATATTATTGGAGATAATCAATTTTATACATTACGAAATCTATTTAACTGGTTTTCAAATCAAACTAAATGGTCTAATGCATTGATCAATTTACAAGGTAAGTTTAATTTCTATTTCAACATTGGCTATTATCTCGTCGAAGTTTATTATCTCATATGATCATCAAATATATCAAATATTAGGTGAGAATTTTATGATATACAAATATGTAAGTATTAATAGAGTTCAAAGTCACATATACAATCTTTCTACGTATTTATATCGATGTCGATCGAATCGATTGTTTTGTCTTCATTCAATTCCAACCTGTCTGTCATATATGTGTGTGTCTGTTGATTTGAATGAAGATACAAACGATTTTTGTAGACGGCGATTGTCTATACGTAATAATTGGTTGTATAAGAGTGAACTATTTAAAGACTTAATATTGACAAAAAGAAAAAAAAAACAAATCGTTGTGCTTCGATAAGAGAAATAGAACAGATTATATTATCTTATAAAAATATAATTCGTAATATTTATTACATACATTTGTACAATTTTCAGCTACTACATCTTCGAATGTATCACTATTATCTACTCAATATGGTTAGTATATGAAAAAAATATTGTTTATTGAAACATTGAACTATTATTAATAAAACCGATTTATGAAATTATTTAATTTGTCTGTTTGTAGAAACAACAACATTCGAATCAATATCATATACAACTACGACAAGTACTAGTGTTACTGAACAAACGACATTGAGTCACGATGAAATATTAGGTTTGTTTTTGTTGATAGATGACTGAAGAGAAAATAATAAGAACATTATTCTTATCAATATGAGATTGAAAAAACAAAAAGTTTAATTTGGTCTAAAAGATGCCAAATGATAAATTTTACATATAGGAAAGTGTTTTATAAATACGACTTATGTCATGAAAGCTTCAAGAATTTTGTGATTAATTTTGTTTTTAATTTTATGCTTTAAGTCAGGTTTTTTTTTTATTAAAAACTATTTCATCGTAGAACATATCACTGTTTTACTGATTGAACATTGCAGTAAAAATTGAAATTTATTTCATATCTATTCATGTTTTGTAGCGGAAAATGCTGTTAACAATGTTGTCAATAATCGTAGCGAACTCATTGGACTAAATGATTCACGTATCACTACGGCACAAGCATTGGTAGATAATCTTCCATTGAGTTCTCCTATCAAAGCGACACTTCAACAGAAACTGAACAATATTAAAGGTTAGATACATGATAATTTTTATTCTACTTTCTTGTTATCATTTAAAGCTGAACATTGATTTAGCGAACATTTAAGCGATTTTTTTTGCTAACATAATTTTCACTTGAAAAATTTCCTAAAAATTACTCGATTTGGAACTAATCACTCTTGCGAAACCATTTCATTAATTTGTTGTCTTTTCTATTTCCAGCTTCACTCACTCAAACAACTGTTTCATTCAATGTCACCTCAGAGTCAGCTACAACAATCAGTTCAGCTAATACAACGTTCCGTACGACACTTGGTCTGTCTAATGAAACATTACAAACAACAGTTACTGCATCTAGCGAAACATTCTATTCAACACCTATCAGGTCGAACGAAACAGTACAAGCAACAGTCAGCGCAGCTGATACGACGCTTGTTACAACACTTACTACACCCCATGGAACCTTACACACATTGGTTAGTACATCTGGTGAGTCTAATG